TCTTTAAATGATCCAAATCCACCAACAAAGAATTCAAAGAGTCGACGATTGAGTAGAGGGAAAATATGTATCGTTCACGCAACGATTCAGAAACTCGAACCACTAAAAATTGACCTGGGTTCAATAAAAAGAAAAAAGGACGAACAAAAATATCGTTTAGAAATTTTCGATAATTTCATTTGAAATCATCCCGAAAAATCCTCGGAAACTCTTCAGTATGCCTTTTTCAGCTTGCCTACACATAATTATGTAAATCACGCTAAAAATGGGTATTCAAATGTTTGAAGATGTAGTTGACGAACTTGAAGAAATTGCCTGCCGATAGCCCAAAAGTCGTTAAAATAGGCGGTGCATCTATGAAAATATATATATATGAGTCGCTTTTATAGCGCTCTTTGGCGCTGTGCGACGCCTAATCGCCACAAAGCTCGGTCTTCCCACAGGTCATCAGGGAGTTGACAATCTCTTATCTCATTTAACACCCCCTGTCGCCAACCTCTCACTGGGCGTCCCCTACGTCTCCTCCCAGGAGGAACCCAATCAAGCATCTTTTTTGGCAGCCTCTCTTCCGTCATCCTATTGACATGACCATACCAAACAAGTTGTTTGGTCATGACGTCGAACACGATGTCATTTTCGACTTCCATTATCTGACGCACTCTATCATTACGGACCCGATCTCTCCTAGAAATTCCTGCTGACCTTCTCCAGAAATCCATCTCCGTTGCTCTTAGCATATCCTGTGTCCGTTTCTTCAGCTGCCAAACTTCACATCCGTATGTTAATATACTTTTGACTACAGCGTTGTATATCCTCCTCTTGTTATCTTTGGAAATCCGCTGATCCCAGAGGATTCCATTTAACATCGCTATAGCCTTCCTTGCTAGGGTGTTCCTTTCCCTGATAGCTTGATCCGTCCTTCCATCCTGGGTCAACCGCACTCCCAAGTACTTAAAGTGCTCGCAGCCTTTGATCTGCTGCCCATCCTCCAACTCAATGCTTTGCTGATCACCGCCAAAAGTCATCTTCTCAGATTTGGATATGCTGACTTCCAGACCCCACTTCCGATACTCTTCTACTAGCTTGCGCATCATGTATTCCGCGTCATCTTGATCTTGAGCAACCACCACCTGGTCATCAGCAAAGCACAGAGTGAACAGAGTTTCGAGATCACCCAAGGGGACACCCTAGGGTGCGTCAAAAAAAATGAAAGTCTGAAATGTTCCGCTCCCCAGGCGGCAATCGATGACGTTTGGTAAAAAAACATGTTTGCCAGAATTTGGGCCAATTTCAACCATTTTAAATGGTGCCAAAGGTCAATTTTGTGATGAGATTATGATATTTTGGTTTAGACCTTGATTTCGCACAAAAAACTCGATTTTACGCTGAAATCGTGCGTTTACGAGAAAAATGCCAAAGAACTCGACTTGTAGAGGATGAAATTTTACACTAGGAAGACGTCTTTGTAACCGATAAAAATCAAATTGAACTAGAAAAACTCAACTCGGTATTTATTTTTTTGGTCCTCAGAATTTCCGAGGTCTTAGAAAGTAGAGGTGTAAAAGACTCATTTTTCACGAAAATAAGTCGAAAGAGGGTGTAAATGAACTGTAGGCAAGTGTTGAGGATGCAAATGTCATCAGAACTTCCTCAGTTTCAAAAAAAGTTCCAACTATTTTGCACAATCCTCCAAAAAGTGCACGGCTCGAGAAGCAGGAGTAGTAAGGTAGTAGTTATGGGCGGACGATCAGATATACATGTATAGCTGGTGAAAGTGAGTGTGGTTGTTGAAGTGTGACCAGTTCGTTCGTCACCGGTCACTAATGAGTTTGTAATGAGTTTGGCATGATAGAATGTCGCACATTAGTGTGTGCTTAAGAATTCGCTACTCTCATTTCGAACGATTTGTTTTACCATTGTTTCTTTATTTTCATATGTATGTGTTATTGAAAATAATTTTTCGAAGTCTAATTTTCTTTAAAAAAAAAATATATTACGAGATGGTGGTTTTGAAAGAAAAAATCATATTTTTCAAAATTATACATGTATTTTTCTATTTGACACAACTCTGACATATTTTTAACTATTGATTAAGTTCGTGAAAAGGAATAGCTTTGATAATAACTGCTCTGCAAATGGGGCAAAAGCTGAATTGTTCGTGTTCGTGACACGTTTTGCAAACATAGTAATGACCACAGGTTATGAATACGTAAAATTTCTTGTTGTCAAGGCATACACAACATGTATCATCTTCTTCTACGGTAAAAATTTTAAGAGACTTGAAACCAATGTCTTCATCGATGAACTGGACATTTTGTTTCCCAATGAAGTAAAAGTCTTGATTTTTTCTTTTAATGAGTTGAATATCCGAGGCCGGAACACTATAGATTTGATTTTCAATGCGTAAATGCCTAGGAAAATGGCAATTTAAGTGTTGAACGTAATTGTTTGAAATAATTCGCATACGGAGTCTGTTTTGAACTTTAATGCATTGTAGATACACACAATTTTGGGAAGACATTATTAGACTCAATTTGTATGTTTTTACTGGTAAATTATGAAATGGTATGCGCAACTTGTCTGTGCGTGAGAAAACACGTCCACTAGCTGTGAGTCACTCAGTTGATGTGAGGATATATTTTGGTCTCTCTCCGTTTTCGAAGAGAAACTTTAAAAGGGAAATAATTTTTAGGTGGAGATTGTGTTGAAAACAACAAGACATGTTTAATGTTTGTGATGACTACAAACGGAGCCCAATACATTTTATTCATAAAATTACAAGATATATGGCCTTATCTCATTTGATGAGGCGTACAATGACTAGAATCTTAAAATTATATTTTAAAAAATAAATGAAATTATTTAAAAGTGAATAAGAGTAATGGAAAGAAAAAAGTGATAATGAATGCCAGAATTCGAATAAATGTCACGATAGTGAAACAAGCTAGACAAATTAAGATGATATTTAACAGTTGGAATAAGCAAATAATGAATGGATGCATGATTGAACGGAGGATTTAACCATCTGTATCGTTAAGACTGTGATAAAGCAAAAGAAACAAAAATTCTCGAAACCAATCCCGAAAGAAGTGTTCGAAACCGTAAGAAATGGAGTAAAACAAGCACACGGTACCCCGTAGCTCCTATCGGTGTTTCATTTTACCTCAGAGGCTGGATACCTACACATTCACACTAATCCCGTACCCTCTATTGATATTTTTATTTAAATCTCAAGGCCTGGATTTATTAGAACAGTCATATTTTCGAACACTATCTTTTAAAAATAAAAAAGCAGAGTATGACAATTTACACTGTGTTTTTTATTTTTGTAAGCTAAGGATGCCTTCGATTTTGTTTGCTACCTTTGGCGAATGAAGGAAAACTATAAATGATGAAAAAACAAACAAAAAAAAAATCAATATTGAGTGCTAAACCAACGTTTGCTACCAACAGTCTAATGCCTAAAATTTTAAGTACCGTAACTAAAATTGAATCCGGCCCTTTCCGATAAACTCATGTTCACTATCAACCCTCGGCAAGAATGTTTTAGCACTTTGAAAATGTAAATGAACTCTTCAGGATGAAAGTGTTGGTTGTCTACATCTAAGTGATTTAAATTGGCTAATGTTGTAGTAGCAGTGTAGGTGTCATAATAACTACACTTATCAGAGACAATTTTGCACATATCATTGAAAAGTTGTTGCAATTTCTGTTCATTATCAGCACATCTTAACACAACGGCGTCGATTACGGGTATCATCGACTTGAAATAGTTCCATCCTTGCTCCTGAAATATAGCTTGTCTAGGGTAAAGCGTTGGGTGAGGATTGGCTTCAGAGATGAAGATAGTCTTCTTATTGTACAATGATTTGAATTCGAGAGCACAGCTCACGCCTCCGAGGAGCTTGCCAGGTATGGAGATCGGAACGGTAGCATCTTGGAAATATTTGTCGATTGTGTCCACTTCCTCCACGAGATCGTTCCACTCGGCAACACTGAGTGCGATACCGTTTTGAGTATCCGAATGTTTGTAAAACTTGACGACCGTGGTGAATCTATCGCTGAAAGTATGACCAACCACAATTTCTTTGACACCGTCAGGGGTCAAGTTAAAAGAAGTGTTCATGACGGTTTTAAAAACTAGAGCCTCGGGACATTTTCTACGCCCGGAATCCTCGGCCGCACTGGTACTTTGCGTAGAGTTATCACGAGTATCGCACATTGTTAAAGCCAGAGAAAACTGGTGAAACTTGAACCGGAATATAGGGTGATGTAGAAGGCACGGCCCAAACACGATGAGAAGTGTGGAGTGAGCGAAGGTAAAATCGGGTAGCACTGATAAAAAATACGATGCATGACGGGGTAGTTATAGCGAGCGCCAACGCACCCCCACCAAAATAACAAGAGGGTGGTCCGCTAACACTCAAGGATGAAACCGGTTTACCGTACGCCCCGCGAAGTTGAAGCCTTCGAAGGATGCGTCCTTAGCCGACGACAAGATTGAATTTTATGCGGGGTGTGATTTTTTCCTATCTTTACAAATTTAAAGTACTGATTGAAATTAAATCTTAAAATTTGGTCATTCTCTAAGGTATTTTGCGAAAATAATTTTTGAAAATCTGCCAAAGACCGTGCGTGAGCTCTAAAATACAAGTACAATAAACAGTATTGACCGCAAACATCAGAATTGAGACTTTGCATTTCTACCGTGTTGTAGACAAGCCTTTTACAGTTTGATCTCAGAAATTGCTGATGATGCGATACGAATGGTGGGAGGCCGTAACTGTCGAAATATTCACCGTTCCTGAATTTATCTATGTAGATAGCAACCCAATGACTGCCAGGTTTAAAATCAGGATCAGTATTCACCACGATACCGCAAGGTATCGAAATTGAGTTAGGGAGTCTATTTGCGGCGTAAACCCGTGTAAAAACGGGTAGAGTATGTAGGGATGCATATACTTCAAGGGAGTTCATGTTGGGAAAGTATGAAGTTGCAGTTAAGCACCGAAATCAACGACGACGTTACGACTTTTGTCAATTTCTATAACGTTGTCGAATTCTGCATAGGTTATAACCGTTATCGCAGCAGCAAGAGCTGCATTAAAACGCAATTCAATCCTTAAGCTACCGTGGCGCACTAGACTCCAATGAGATTTAATGTGAGCCTCGAGATCCGGAGTAAAATCTAGAGCGATAAGTCCATATCCTGCCGTATACTCCTCTCTATTAATCTCGTTTCCTGAGTCCGAGTAATGTATACCAGTCCCTGAGAAAAGTGTGTGAAATGTTCTTATATACTCCTCGGAGTCAAAATTGGGAGTTAAAATTACTCCAGGAATCTGCTGCCCGTCAATATGAAAAGATGCATAGTCTAACCCGAAAGTTTGAAAATTGAAAGGGTTCAATGTTATGTCACCGTTGAAAGCCGTATTAGAAACCATCCCCATGATAATCCGTGTAGGGAGTTGCCCGCTGACAACATTATCTAGGGACGCACTGCGGACACCAGCAGGGATGGTGTTTGTTTTTACATCGGCTCTAGTTATTGGATACTTTGCTGATGTCATCTCAAGGCCTTTTGCATGACTTATCAACACGTTAGGTGAAACTTTGACTCGTCGAGCGAACAAATTAGCCTCAAAAATGTTGATTTTATATCCTTCTTTCCCTAACAAGCTGAAACTATCACGAGTCCTGACTAATCGTAATTTTAAATCAACATTGTTTAATAACATTTTATCTTGGGAGAAAATATCGCTATGAATACGCCCAATCATCTCTACAGTTTTACTACGTTTGCTAAATGAGCGCCGCTTTGCCAAACCTTCATTATCGGCGACCTCCATATGACCTGCAGTGTCTTTGTACCATAAAACTGAGGTTAAATGTGAGTTTTTAGCTCCAGGTCCGTAACTTAATAAATTTTCAAAATAAGCCCTGTAAGGATATGCATTGCTTGAAGATGACACTATTTTCTGATTTAAATAAACATCTACTTGGCTGAACAATGAATGCATCCAGTTATTGACGGGCCCGATTTCGTCATCATCAGCCGCCACGATGGCTTCCCCATTATTTTTTACGATTTTAGCTTTAATACTCAGCAAAGTATGAGATAAATCGATGTAATCTGACCCCTGACCAGGTAGGCAAAATTCTATCGGCGTTTGGTCCTGCAAAGATGAAATCGGTTTGTACATTACCCATTGACCGTGTTCTATATGCGATTGTGTTGGAGGTAAAGAAAATAAATCCAACTCCGACTTGGAGCAATCACAACTACTAGCATGAACGAAAGACATGATTACCCGAAAATATCCTGAAAAGTGTGTTTCACGCAGTCTTTTTTACCCTTTTTGGATCTCGACTTACGAGTTTTACGAACCGTAACTTTCTTGTATGCCCTCCTTTTCTTACTCTTACCACCCTTCTTAGGCGTCCTCCTCTTCCGAATAGTGCGTTTGGACTGAATGGCTTTCCTACTTTTCTTGGTTTTATAACCCTTGCCCCTAAAAATAGTGTCGATGGCTTTTCGTTTCAAGTTATTTTGAGCCTGACTTAATCTTTGTTGGAAAGCTAATTTTGCAGGCATATCATTATCGAGGTCCTCCAAAAAATTAATTCCCGAATGCATGAGTTCTTTTCCAACAGCGCGGGCACCTTTTTGAAGGAGCGGAAGAGAAGCACGGAACAACCCTTTGAGGAAAGTACCGACTCCGTGCCCGCGTTGATTAGGCGAACCACGATAAACCGTAATGGTTCCGAGACCTACCTGCTCCATTGTAATGCTTTCGGAACAATTTTAAAATTAAAAGTCGTGACCCGCGACAAAATATTAGAAAATAAAAATTTCTATTTCCAACGATTATTTCTTAAAAATTAGACACAGAAAATTAATTTTTGGGTTCAGTTTTCTGACGAAAATGAAGTTTCACGTTCAAGGGTCCCTCGGTGAATGGCAAATAGTAACCTAGGTCATCTCTTATATCTATTTCTACCTCTTGAAATTCTTTTTTTAAAAGTGGGATGTAATGCGGATGTGTAAAAATATTAACAGCCTGACTGTCTAAAGTATCTCGAGAATTAGCTATATTAACAATACGTAGCAGTGGTGCATTGACATTGCCTACGTGTTGCGGCTCAATGATATCCGTATAAATGAACATTTGCGTCGGAACGCAAGCATGTAAATTGAATTCGTCAGTGCCGTCAATGAAAGATTGATTCAGCTCAACACCTAATAAGTTAAAAACGCGCTGTAGAGACAAGCTCAATATTAACCTCTTAATATGCTCTTTTAATGTAATCCTGATTCGTGATTGAAAAACAGAAATTGAAGCTATAGACTTGAAAGCTTTGTTACTGCTGATCCTCCGCAGCAAGCTTTCAATGGATCAAAAACACCCGCTTGAAAAGAAGATCTTACCTCTCCCCTCAGGATCAACGATAGATGTCGCATCACTACCCCCGCTCCCGTCAGAATTATTTTCCTCTTTTTCAATGTTATCCGTAATGACTGGTAATTTATTTAGGTCAAATTCGAATGCAATCCAAAAATCATTGTTGGGGAGTGTAGAAAAGTTGTTCCTGTAATGTACCTCGGCCAAACTGACTTCCCATTCCCCTTGTAAAGATATTCGCGAGGACAGCTGAGTTTTGAAATGGGTAACTCTATTATCTGGAAAAATATGAGATGAACTGTTGGATGGTAATGTGACGTAGAAATGGTTAGTCATTTTAAATTTACTAAACTTGATTCCGGAATCCAAGTTGCGAAAGAAATGGGATAACCTGACCACGAAACAAGAACCTCTCGAATGGACCTCCTGGTCCGTCGAAATAGTATTTTATCTATCTTGTAGGTTTTGTTTTCGTCAATGGTTACGGGTTGGAGCTCGTATTCGTAGTATTCGTCCATCGATTTGTTGACCGTTCAGGTCTGCCAGCTCATAAACCGGAACTTTCCGATTTATGATTCTGGTGATTTTAAAAATCTCCTCAGTAAAATTTGTTTCATAACCTTTCTCAAACATGGATTTTTTACGTGTTATACGAACATGAGTGTTTATTTTTAGTTTAGGCTGATATTTTACAGTGGGTATACCGTACAAATTTTTCCAAACTCTCAGGATATTTTTTTCATTTACATCGACAGGTCTCATTTTAATACTACGATGGAAACTGTGGTTGTACGCGTCCACGAGGTCGTACAGCACGTCGATATAGCGGAATGAATTTGCGTGCGTAAGGTACCGCCACATACGATTCTTTAGAGTTCTATTAAATCTCTCTACCACTGTGGCTTTTACATCGGGGTTCCTCGTTGTGTAGAAGTTAATTTGGTTATCTTTAAGAAATTTCTGCATTTTATGACCTAGAAATTCTGCACCTTTATCGCTCTGTAAATTTAAGCACTTTCTCCCGCCTGCAAAAATTGACTCGAGTGCTTCTATTAAGCTTACATTGTGTTTAGTTTTTAGAGGCGTTACCCATGAAAATTTACTTAGGACATCGATACACGTGAGAATATACTTATAACCATCGTTAAAATCGCTTAAAGTGCGCATGTCACAAAGGTCACACTGCCACAATTCATCGATGTTGTCAACATAAACCCTATTGCGGGGGAATCTCTTTCGTGCAGCTCTGTGCAAAGTATAAGTATCTTGGGTTTGTAACCATTCCTTCGCAGCTTTGTAAGGGACATTAGCGGCACGCGCTAAATTTCTTATACTCGAAAAACTACCCGGGTTGGAAGGATCGTAATATGCATGCTCCATGACAAGACAACAACTGCTAGAGGAGCGGGCGGGCGGGCGGGCGGGCGGGCCGGGCCGGAAGAGTAAAAACTAGAACTAAAAGAACACTTTTAGAGTAAAATGAGCCGAGGAAGAAAAGAGGAATGGTTAGTACAGACCCTGTTAGGTTAGGTTAGGATGATAATAACAACCTAAAATTTACTTAAAAGAGAAATTCTCCCAGTCAAGCTTTCGCCGTACAGACTTAGGGCTCGGACCACTTTTTGATCTTTTAGCCTTTTTGACGGAAGTGTCAGGCCAAAGAAGGTTAAAATATGGAGACTCAGGACTTGAATCTTCAGCAGCAAACCCGCGAATGAGGTTCCACCGCGACGTATTACCTATTAATTCTTGGGGGACGTTTAATTTTGCAAGAGCCGAATAAAACTCTTTATACCCTGTTGGAGCAATCACTGATTTTCGTTGTCTGAGCGCATCATTAACCAGATCAGTGATATGAGCTCCGTTGATTGGTTTATTGTCAATTTGCACCCTACCGTCATCACTCCATTTTACACCCCCACTTTTTTCTAATTTTTTTAATAGAAGAGAGCCTTTACTTCTTAAAGTTTGCGGGAGCGTAAGTAAAATCTCATCTGTAGAATACGAACTAGCATCACGGATCTGAGTATCCCGACGTGATCTTCCAGCACGACCATCAACGTTCTCAAAACTTTGCTGTGGCTCCGTTTTTTCATCCCTTCCTACACCTTCTTCTCCATCACTTTCTGAATCATTCATATTGTCGGAGTTTTTATTTAAATTATGCATATCTATAGAAAAAGACAACGGTTTCCGTCGTTGTTCAGCAATACGTAAGCTCCGCTCCAACACTTGTTGGTACTTATGCCATTTTTCAGAGTCTGATAAATTACGAGCCTCAAGAATATGGGACAGTTCCTTGTGCATCTCTTCAAGAGGATCTTTAGATCTAGGAATATGAATCAATCTCTCTACCGTCTCAGCCGGCACCAAAACCATTTTTTTAGCATGTTCCATACTTACACCTCTGGTCACAAATCCCAGACACTACTCGTTATCACTTGAAATTAACTCAAAACGGAGCTCAAAACTGCACTTAAGATTGGTCCTATAATCAGAGGAATAAAATTACCACCTTTTTGCGTTAAGATTTTTCTCTTAGATTTCCACCCGCCGGTTTTTTTAGTAAGTCTTCGCAACAACTGTTTGTAACGAGAAAGTTTTTGTTTCTGAGCTGAATTTACTGGAACTTTTCCTTTTATTAAATTTAGACTACACTCGCATAAGAGCCTTACCAGTTTTTTATCGGCCGATTTCAGAAATGCTAACCTTTGCTGTGGTTTCAATTTTGACAGCACTTTGAGCAAGTCTGCATTGTTCACAATTTCACGAACCATTTTGAAATGATCAACATTCAACGTGTCGGAACTATTTATACACAACTCGAACTACATTTTGCGATAAGGAACTACTATTTTCTGGTTCATCCATAAAAATACTTATCTACATAGGATGGTAACGAAGATTTACGCTGTTTCTCATATGAATCAGGAAGAGTAGTTCCTCATTGCAAAATACAGTTCAAGTTTACCTACTTGCGAGGGATGTACACTACAATTCCTCCATCCTCCGGAAATATTTTAGATTTGAACCGTAAATTCTCCGGGGTTCCCTGTTTCAAATCGATCATGAGGTATCCATGAGCGTTCGTTGTAGCATCAGAAAATGCCTCAACTAAGAACTTGAAATTTTGAGGACACATTTGTTGAGCTAAATGTCTGATTTGTGTTTTGTCTCTAGGGTTTTTAAATAAGACTAAATAGTGAGAGTTCAAACTTAGATCTCGTTGATTTTTCCCTTTGTAAAATAAATTTTGAGTAATAAAAAACACACTTATGTTTTTATGGTGACATCCTTTCGTGAATAAGTCAATGATGACGGAACTATTCGCCGATTCACGCATTAGATCGTCTATAATAAAAAGACGAGGGTGTGATGCTTCAAAATCGGTATCTGGCAACCCTTGAACAAAAGTGATACCGTATACATCGATGTCTGGTTTCCATATATCATAGTGCCATATTATTTCTTTGAAATGCGTATCACACATCTGATCTAGATTTTTCAAAAAATTTACAACAAAAACGGATTTACCACTTCCACTAGGACCAGACACTAGTGTACTGAATGGATGTAGAAACTTAGTGTTAGGATTCATGTTGTAAACTGAAGGAGATAAACTACAAACATTACTATTTAAAGTTTCATTAGATTGAAGGAATAGGGGGGGGGGGGGGGAGATGGTGTTAAGAGGTAAATTGAAAACAACTTCTTTTTCACAGGCAGACTCATACGTTTATTATTTTTAGAGATTCTTCATTCAAAGTCTAATTTCCTTCTGATACTTCCTCTCTTTTTTTTTTACAAAAAATAACAAGTAGGTTTAACAAAATTACAGCTTAAATCAAAAATACAATTCAATGATTTTACTAACATTCGCATCTGTGCACACGCAAATCATG